TTTGCGTGGTACTGCTGTTCTGTGGGTGTCCTCCGTCTCCCTAGGGTAGGTTGCCAGTGGTAGTCCCAGCAGCTCCTTGGTGTCTTGATTGACTGGCAGCTCTGGCAAGTCCTAGGTATGGCTGGGGTTCTCTTTGGGCTCCAGCAGCAAGCAGGATGGGTCTGTCTCCCTCAGCAGCTCCAGCCCAACTGAGCTGCAGGGCCCACCTTTTATACTTCCGTTCTTGTCCCGCCCCTCAGCTTCCGGCAGGGCGGGCGCAGCCTTCCTGGCTCTGCAAACCAAGGAGCGGGTTGTGGTCCCTCCTTGTCAATCTCTGAGGGACACCACTCCTCCCCCCTACAGTAAGCTTTACAGAGGATTAAGTTGTGGTTGACAGATCTGCTCTGCCGCATCAGTAGACTATGACATGTCCTTCTTTCCTAACCCCACAACAATGTTGGATAACAAGAACGTATCTACTTAATCATCTCTCTATAAATTTCCAGTAATCTGTTATTAATGCTTGTATTCATGTAACTATAACTAAAGATGACAGATGTAAAAACTGTTGCATTCCCATCCCAATGAAGCAGTGAGGTGTGAAAAATGGTTGGGAACTGCAAAATATAGCCTTTTGCTAAATCTAATGACAGTGCCTAACTTTGTGATGAAAACACATTATTGTGAATGTCAGTGCACAGGGAATTGTTGAGACAGACTGCAATGATGATTGCTAAAGAAATATCAAAAGCAATAAAACATAGAACAACAATCTTCCATTGGTTTAGTTATAATTCATACGGGTTATCACTTTTGCTGTGTCATTTCACATAGGAACTCGCATTTAATATGACAGGTGATCCTTTAAATAGAATTCCTGGGAAAAAGGCTTCTGATATTAATATATTAAATACTTAGCATGGATGCTGAAATATTTTGCATGCTTAAAAGATAAAGTTAAATACTGTGTTAAGATAAAATTCAAAATTCAGGCCACTAGTAAATTAGTTAAACCTGTTAAAGAGCAGCTTGTGGAGTTTAGCATGAGAATCCAGTTAGATTTCAAGACAAAAGTAAAAAGAGTCCATTCCTGAACTTGGTTATTATATTTTGCCTACTAAAGCTAATTGATTTAAACACTCTTCCTATTCAGAAGAAAGATTTTGTCTTGTTATATGTTAGATTGCTTTTACTGATGGCCTACACAAACTGGAGGAGCTGCTTTCTGTTGACTGTTACATGAAGTGTTCATTCTGAAGAAAGTCTTGTGTGGTTTCTTCAAATCTGTTGCTATATTTCCTTTTAAGATAATTTTTAAAAAATGTATTTATTGTTCATCTAATAATAGCATATAATACTTCCTCTGGCACCATTAATGTTTTTTCATAGCAAATCATTGAACTTAAAAGGCTTCTCTTAAAAATTGTGGAAGTCTTTAATTTCATTCATCTAAATTATACATTTTTTTAAATAAACTTCAGGTTAAGGCTGCTAGGCAGGATGAGATCCATGATGAGAGCAGTGTGGAACTGCACTGCCTGAGTCCTGGTAGAAGGAAGCATTTTACCTGCATAGGACAGCCTTACCTCCACTTGCTCTGTTATCTTACCAGTGGCTCTTTCCTGCACCTTACATAGAAGAGCGGACTGTGTCTCCCAACTGGAGCAGACATACAGTGGGCAGGGCAGGGCTAAGGCCATGCCCCTCTCAGGTATTCAGTGCTGCCATCTGTGTTAGGACACCCTGCTCTCATAGGGCATAGCCTTGTGAGTGGGCACGGTGTGATGACGCACCTGCACAGAGACAGTCACAATTTGCCCCTTAGCCATTTTATTTTCCAGTAAAAGGAATTATGATTATTTACTATGTTGCTCTCAGCTCTTGTCACAAGTGGCCAGTAAATCTTCTTGTCCCTAAATTGTTTCTGAGGCTCTCACCCTGCAATTGCTGATCTTTATTATCCTTCTGTCCTTACATGTGAGGCTCTTCTATTGATCTAAGCACCAGTTCTGTGAGTGTAGGGAGAGTACAACCGTGGATCAAATCTGCTATTTAAAACTGAAAGGAATATACTTTTTGTTGTTCACATGATAAAAATCCATATACCTTTCACTACAGCTGAACTGTAGCTGATTTTTAAAGCTTGACCAATTGAACAGTCTTTACTTTGTGTTTTTCGTAAGGAAGACTCTGTCCCTCCGGGCATTTGGAAAGCCCCTACCAGGAGTGAGCTCATTAACATAATAACCAATTTAAAAAACCCTCTGAATTAATCATTTGCTAGCTCTGTTTTATAAAATCAAATGCTTATTTGAATAAACAGACACACAACTTTTTAAGATGTTAATTTTCAAATTCTTAAAATGTAACTCTACCATTGCCCTTTTCTTCCTACTGTCGCTTACTTTACTTTTCCTTTGATGGATTTATACTAGTTATTTTCTATTACTGCTATTTTGTGATTTTTTTTTTTAATGGAAGGTGGCTTTAAATGAAAAAAAAACCAAAACAAAACAACCTCTACCAAAACTCTGCTGAGCAGACCAAATTTTATCCCCTCCATTTTTTTAAAAAGACTGAAAATAGTAGTTCTGTGTGTTTCACATATGGCAATCCAGACAGTTGGCAGGAGGAGTAGGGGTGGGAGCTTATACCATTCTGCACCTGCTGGGAGAGAAAAATTTCCAATGAGAATCTTAAGGACCCCACATCTCATCAGTTCTTTCTCTACCCGGAGTGAATGAGCTAGCTAGCTCCCTTGACTGCCTAGTAACAAAAAAGGAAGAAATAAAGAAAGAAGGAGAATTTGTGTAATGGGATTTGATTTAGATAGATAATTTTTTTATGGCATTGAGTGACCATTAAACAGCTCACACTTAATGCCCAAAGCATATCTACACAAAGATGGGATTTCTTGAAGGTATCGCTTTTATTTGGCATTTGCTATAGTAGTGAAATTGGATAGATGAGGACCAGTAGCTTTTCTATAGTCCACAATATCTCTATCATTTGGCACAACATAGGATATTTTGCTTAATTTCTGTATCCCATGCTTCTTTAAGATGTGTTTAGAAATGTTCTCAATTACTGTATGTTGATATATTTCCTTCTGTAACCTAGATTATGAATAGTTTGGTAGAATAGTCTTTCCACTTTTAAATAAAAGATTTAAAAAAAGAAGTAGCAGTAGTTAAATATTCACATAGTCTGTATGCACAACCTAAGTGCAGCCAGTTATTCAGATGAGACATCTAATAATGGAATATCTAAGTAAAGCTGTCAGATTTTTCAAAACTGGAACTGGCTTAGCTAACATTCTGAGATATTACAATGTTCCAATATTAGAATAGTGTAAGTAACAGTTGGGGCTAGATCCACAAAGGCACTGAGGTATTGCAATGCTGACCATTACAGTGCCTTACTTTTAGGTGCCTTGCCATCCAGTGGAATTCATAGCCCCAATTTAGATGCCTAGACTCCCTATACAGTGCATGGAAGAGTTAGGCGACTAAGGCCATGTCTACATTTCCCGGGGATCAATGCTACTGTGATCGATACAGCAGGGGTTGATTTAGCGGGTCTAGTGAAGACCCGCTAAATCAACCTCAGAGCACTCTGTGATTGACTCCTGTACTCCACCGGAAGGAGAAGATTAAGGTAAGTTGACGGGAGAGCGCCTCCCGTTGCCACAGCACAGTGTAGACACCACAGTAAGTTGACCTAAGCTATGACCTAAGTAGTGTAACTTAGGTCAACTTATTGCAGTAGTGTAGACAAGGCCTAAGAATGGGATCCACAAAAGGCAGTGAGCTGATCAAGGAGCTGTCTAAGGTAGCAAGTAGGAAATACTGAGCAGAGGGGCATGGCCTAAGCCTTGCTCCTCTCAGGGAGTCAGGCACTTAACTCTGCTTGAAAGTCTCAGCTGTGAACCCTCTCCTGGACTTAGGTGCCTAAACTGTTTTTTTTTTTTTGCAAGAAATCGCTGGGGGCGGAGAAGAGGCACTCTTTTAACCTTTAGGCCAGTAGTTCGAGCACTCACCTGGGATGTGGGAGACAAGGGTTCAGTTACCCCCAACCCCTCCCCAGCCTGATGTTGAGAAGGGTTTTGAAGCTTTGAATTTGGGTTTTCCACGTCTCAGGGGAGTTCCCTAAGCACTGGGTTATGGGATATTCTGGTGTGGATCTTTCTCGGGGCTTGTCTACATGGCTAGTTAGTGCATGGCAAGCCAGGATGTGAATGTGAAGTGTGCTAACCTCCTGCATACTAACTGTCTGGACCTTCTGCTGCACACTAGTGCGCATTGATGAACTCTCAATGGGCTAAAGATGATATGGTGGGCTGCTGCTGCTTCCTCTTGCTCTCTGCCTCCCTCCCCTCCTGGCTGAGTCGTGTGAGTGTAGGAATGCTCAGAGAATGCCTATTGGCTCAGGCAAGATTGGTAGGAAAACACTTTAAGGGAATGCCTACTTTAAGGGTCCTGCTGGGCCTTGGGCATGAGATAATTGCCCAGGCATCTAAATGAGGCAGCAGTGCACATGCCCAGAGGCTGAAACATAGGGAATGGAGATTTAGGCATCAAGGGATTTTAGGTGCCTGTAAGTTAGGTGGTGGCTGAGCAAGGGTTTGGAGGATCTCAGTGGCACCTAAATGTTGGATATAGGTGCCTACCTGCCATTTTAGGTGCCTAAGGCCTTCTGTGGATCGAGCCTTTAGGGAAGATAGTCACGATTTTTAAGTCCATTTTATAATATGGTGTGTGAAATCCTGGCTCTTCTGGAGTAAAGGGCAAAACTCTCATTGAATTCGGTGGGTCTAGGATTTCACCCAAAGGATTTAACCTCTCATATTATGGAATAAATTTTAGTACCTGTATGTATACGATATAGCAGCAAGTTTGTGGTCTCCAGACAAAAGTTATTGATTTCATGAAGGTTTTTTTTTTAAAGTTGTGTTATAGAGCTTGAATTAAGTTTACATTATGAAAGCCTCCTGGAAGTCGAACCACCTCCCTATTTTTCAGGTTATTTGGCCTCAAGTGACTTCACGAGCTGTGTTAAAGGTGTCAAGCGGGGTTACGCCTTTTAGCAGGTAAGGTCAAGTTAATTGCTTTTGTGTGTCTTTAGACTGTGAATTTCCAGGGAAGGGATTGTGCTTTCTGTTCTATTTGGAAATTACTTATCACACTTTGGGTACTATGGGCAATTAGTAATAATACCAATGATAATTTTCAGGAATATTTAAGAGTAAATCCCCACACAGGACTGCTTCAGAAATCTTCCCAAATGAGGTTACTGTCTGAGATAGGAATAGCCTAAGAAAATAAATCACTTTTGTTTTAATAGTTTACAAAGTAAACAAAGGTTCTTCGTATAACCAAGGTTTCCACTCTGAAATTTCCACTGATAATGACTAAGGTCCCGGTCAAACATTTGGATACAGGGGCATAATTAGAAGTTAGTATACTTTCAGACTTTGCCCTGATGTCGGCTTAATTAGTTTACCAGAGAGAAAAGAATCAATATGGTAATGTGTTTATGTACAGGGAATAATTTATTATTTAATCTATTTATAAGGAGCTTATTGTGAGATAGCTCAGTACCTTAGAGTAAGGGCTGAATACAAAAAAAATTAAAATCTTCTAAAGAAAAGCCAACCCATCAAACACAATACAGAGTGAGCCAGCATGAAGAACTCCCCACTTCAAAACAGTTCAATTCCTCAAGTCTCGCATCTGTCTGTTGTTCCCTTCTCTATCCACCTCCTTTGTTCTGGCACAACATTTTTTGTGTCCTCTTCCCTCACCTCCCCATGTTCTCTTTGAAGCTCCCCCTCTTCTTTCTTACTTCAGTCTCTCCTTCAGGGCCTCCAGAATCATCTCAGTTGCTCATATGTGCACTCACACTATAAACATTCAAATCCTCCCCCAACCTTTCTACTCTCCCCGGAATCTCACTGCTCCCATTCATTCATTGATCTCTCCCTTCAGCCCAACTCTCCACTCATCCTCAGGTGCCAAGTTTTGAAAAGCTCCTTATAAGATGCCCTTTGCAAGAGGTGTGAGTGAAGCAAGGGAGCTGCTGCTAGGGCTTCTTCCTCCTTAATGGAGAAACTGTGATTTATGCCTCCTCCTCCATTCCTTTCTTTCCCAGTTGTGGTTTCCACTTCCCTTTCACACACAAACTCCCTTCTTCTCTGCTGGGCTCCCCCATCCCCACCATTTCACTCCCCCAGCTATAGTCCTTTATCATGGCAGCAGGGCTCATGCTACTGTCTGTCTTTCCTCTCAGTGGGGCAGCAGGGGAACACTGAAAAGGGGATGGGGAGGAGTAAGAGAGACTGTGGCTCTACAGCAGCCTCCATTGCCTGGAGGAGGAAATCCACATGAAACATTGAGGCTTGACTGCTGCCTCATTTTCCCCTCCTCCCCCCTCACCAGGATATATGACATTCCAGCACAGATGCAGGCAGGTGTGATGTGGGAATTCAAATGTGTGAGCATGCCACCCAAGGCATGACACTTGTCAGTCCCATTCACCCCCTCCCCATTCACTCAGGGCTTGTCTATACAAACAGTTAATGCATGGCAAGTTGGGGTGTAAATCTACCTCTCACTAGCCTCCCACATGCTATATGTCTGTGTGGACCCTGCTGGTGCACACTAAAAGTTCCTTAGTGCGTTTTGATTTCCCCACTTTGAAAAGGAAGTAGCTTAAAGCTCACTAGGGAATTTCTAGCGTGCAGCACTAGGTCCATATGGACAGTGCATAACAAGCTAATATGAGGTAGGTTTGTACCCCGGCTTGCTACTCACTGACTTCATATAGACAAGCTCTCAGTCACACGATCCATGCACTCACCTCCCAGGAAGTTACCCCTAGAGACGGAAGAGGGGAGTATCATGGCCCTCCTGCTGTTAAGGGACGTGTCCCACTGTCCACCTTGGTAAGTGTTTGAAGGAAGTAGTTGAACTCAAATTTACATGTAAGATACTTTCCTGTTAGCTGATTAAAGCAAGATGGAAAAGAGGGAGAAAAACAGCCTTAGTGAGATATAACAAAAAACAAACGAACTGATGAAAGATAAATAATAGAAGAAGACTAACTCTTCACAATTCAGATCTTTTGTGTGTTCTCCCATTGGTTAGAGTGTCTGTCTGCGGTTTACAAACCAAGATGACTTTTTTTTAAAAGTGTAAACATTCATAACTGAGCCATGCACAGTACTTTGTTCTGTCATTTTGAATTTGTGTCCCTCTTCTCAGTTCAGTAAGCCCTTTCAAGTGATATCAAACATGAATACAGCATTGGGAAATATTACAAGTGTATTTAAATTGTAAGATGGTTCAATTTTTCATTTTAAAGTTTTTCTATTGACTGAGAACATATGTCTACTTGTACATAGAACTTTGAGTATAATGTTGACAATTATTAAGCATTATTTTAGGGTTACAGTAAGTATCTTTGACCTTCAGTCCAGACCATCAAAATACTGCTGGCAAAGTCATCTCTCTTTACTGTTGTTTTGATCATGTAGCATCCTCCTCCTTTAAATCACTTCAGTGGTTCTGCTTTACTGGTTTATTGCTTTATGCAACAAGGTCAAACTTCTTGTCCTTGCATTTAAGGCTCCTCTGTATATACTGCAGTGCTTGCCAACATCTCTGCTCTGGTAATCTTTCATGTGCCTCAGCCCTGCCCTCTCTGCTCAGGGTGGGGCTGACTGTTGACTTTTTGATCCAAAGGAACATATGTGGAAAGTACTTGTTTAGAAAATAAAATCTCAAGCTTCAAGTCCTGAGTATGTCAGTATATTGTTTAGAATGAACTGTAAAAAAATGTGTTTACCTACAGTGCTACACTGGTGTTAAAATAAAGGGAATTTTGCAGTTGCGCATGTCCCCAACCTGTGCTAACAAGAGAGGTTAGCTCCTCCTCTTTTCTCCTGGGTTTGGGTAAGGAGTGCTCACTCTTCTCTCTGGTTAATTCTGTGAGGCTCCCCCGCTGTTTCATTCCCCTTTAATCACTGGGGCTACACAATAAATTAGACTAAAAAGGAGTAAAGATGGACAACAGAACAGCTACAAGATGAGATGATAGACTTTAGTGGATGCTTTATCAGTCTTCTCATTCTCCGAAAGTACAGTCAATGAACTGAAACTAACTAAAATAAGGGTCTAAATACTTGTTCTTGACTTGGGTCACATCCTTTCAACAGGATTTGGTTTTCTAATGCCTGGGAAGGATTTTTGTCAAGAAACATATTACATAGACAAATTTAACTCAACTTCAGCAAATGCAGGCACTCTTCTGCTTCCTGCTGGGAATAACTTTCTCCACAATAGCCCCTTCCATTTAAAGCATCTGCCCTCAGATTGTTAAATTGGTCCATATTCTTGGGGGTCATTTTAGATTCCACACTGCACCTTGTCAAGGTTCCCTCCCCACCCTGAACTCTAGGGTACAGATGTGGGGACTCGCATGAAAGACCCCCTAAGCTTATTTTTACCAGCTTAGGTTAAAAACTTTCCTAAGGCACAAACTTTGCCTTGTTCTTGAACAGTATGAACATCAAGCGTGTTAACAAAGAACCAGGGAAAAGGACCACTTGGAGTTCCTTGTCCCCCAGCAATCCTCCCAAGCCCTTACACCCCCTTTATTGGGGAGGCTTGAGAATAAACACGTTGAGCACAGACCAGCTTGGGTTTCTTAGGACCCTAGAAACCCAGTCAGATTCTTAAAAAACAGAACTTTATTAGAAGAACAAAACAAAGATACAAGAAACACTCTGTAAAATTAGAATGGAAGATAATCTCACAGGCAGTCAGATTCCAAACATAGAGAATCCCTCTAGGCAAAACCTTAAGTTACCAAAAAAACACAAAAACAGGAATACACATTCCCTCCAGCATAGCGAATTTACAAATCAAAACAAAGAAAACCTAACGCATTTTCTAGCTAGATTACTTACTATCTTTACAGGAGTTGGAGGTTTGCGTCCTTGATCTGTTCCCAGCAAAGGTATCACACAGACAGACAAAAGCCTGTTTCCCCCCGCTCCAGATTTGAAAGTATCTTGTCCCCTCATTGGTCATTTTGGGTCAGGTGCCAGAGAGGTTACCTTAGCTTCTTAACCCTTTACAGGTGAAAGGATTTTGCCTCTGGCCAGGAGGGATTTTATAGCACTGTATACAGAAAGGTGGTTACCCTTCCCTTTATATTTATGACACACCTGGACATCCAAATAGCCAGAGTGACAAAAATGCTCACTTCCATCTGAGCCTGGCCAGAAGATTGAACCCAATTCTCTGCACACGGCCTTGGCCATGGTGGTCTATACTTTTGTAATATCTAGGCTTGACTAGTGTGATTCTCTGTGTCTAGGAGTGAAGCCCTGTGCCAAGAGAGAACTCCAGCTGGTCCAGAACACAGCAGCCCACTTGCTCAGCAGCACAGGTCCCTGGGAACACATAACCCTGATTAGCTGCTGTCTGCACTGCTTCCCCATTAACACAGAGTTCATTTTAAGGCTGTTGTCCCAAGACTGGCCCTGGCTACCCAAAAGACCTGTTTCTAAGAACGTGACCTTCCACGACTGCTTTGTTAGAACATAACATAAGAACAAAAGAATGGCCATACTGGGTCAGACCAAAGGTCCATCTAGCCCAGTATCCTGTCTTCTGACAGCAGCCAATGCCAGGTGCCCCAGAGGGAATGAACAGAACAGATGATCATCAAATGATCCACCCCGTTGACAATTCCCAGCTTCTGGCAAAACAGAGGCTAGGGACACCATCCCTGCCACGGGAACAACGAAACTGTCAACCAATAAGGGGAAATTCATGAGCCTTCAGGGGAACAAGACCCATGTATGGAATTTGCTGCTAGATGAAATAAGAGTCACCATTCACTTTGCTGCATTCAGACTAAAAGCAACATGACCTCTTTGCTCAGGATGTCTGCAATACTACCTTCATTCTCATACTTTGTATTTATATTAAAAAAACCCCAGACACTAAACCTGCCTTCCTGACTGGTGGCGAGCAGGAATGGAAGGGATTGATATCACTTTTGCTGTTTGCACTCTTGGGA